AAGCTCAGGACAGATCAATACACGACACCCCTGGGTCTCGGAGTCCTTCTGTTTGTCACTCCAGACCTGCCCTGTGAGGTGCCATCCCCGCAGGACCAGCAGCTGCTACAAAGGTGCTCTGCTGCCACCCAGTGGACTGGAGGCGCCAAGGCAGGAAAGCAGACTGCTGGCTCCCAGCGCTTTGCACTGAGGACTCTGAGAAGCAGCAGCACCACCAGGTGGGCACAGACCCCACACGGACCCTAGCCTCCTTCTCTGCTCATCCCAATTCAAGTTCCTTTCTAGACCTGAACGTGAAGTTGGATGAGGAGCTCAGATGCCCTCACTGTGCCATGTTTATACCTGGCACATGGATGAGCATGAGCACCTCATGCTCAGCCACCTCCCGTCTGTCAGTGGACGCTTGAGTGTTGCTGTGAGGCTGAACGGGTTTCAGTGGAGCTTCCAGACAAAGATGGACTAGGAAGAAAGGCTGGTGATCTACTTCCAATGTCAGTGAAAATGCTATGGACCACAAGGGTCTGATCCTGTTGTGCATGGGGTCACCATGAATTGGGGGACAACTCAATGGCAGCTGCTAACAAGTCTGCCTTTAAAATATTAAAATAGTCTTGGGAGGAGAAGAGCAGGAGTGGGTTTGCTGTGCTATTTAGTGTCAGGCTTTGATACACACACAACATGGCCACAGTCTCTCAATACTGAGGCAAGAGGAGCAGGAGGGATTCTTCCAGAAGGGTGGAGAGCGCTGCTTTGCCGTCCACTGACCTTCTCTTCTAAGACAGATGGCGCTGCACCTGGCTGACCACAGGCTAGCTGTTCCCACCTCCGGGTCAGACAAAGGAACAGAGTGAGCAGGTGTCTTAGTTTAGGTTTCCTCAGAGCAGACCCTGAGCCAGGGGGTTCAAATGGGAGTCATTTACTTGGAAATCGATGCTGGGAACACTGCTGCTGAGTGGGAGGTGAGATAAGGAAGGGAAAGAATCCAGTAAGAAGTGTCACCAATAGGGTCATCCTTTCACGGGACATCCCAGTAAATTGGCCTAATATCATGGTTAATGCTTCTGTTTTATCTCCTAGTTCATTGTGTAGTGCCTGGGGTCTTAAAAGCTTGCAAGTGGCCATCCAAGGTACAATAATTGGTCTCTATTCGCCTGGAGAAACACAGGAAGGAGTGGCAGGAATAGGAGGAAGAAATAGAATGTGTGGCTGATTGCCTCCATGAACAACTACCCCCTCTGCCATGAGACCAGAATTGAATGGTGCCCAGCTACCATTACGTTTTGGTCAGAGTCTATAGAAAGAATCCTGATCAACAGGGGGAAGCTGCAGAACAGATTTTCAAACTCTTGATGCATCTAGATTTTCTGGAGCCATGGAGGCTGAATGAACCCCTGAAACTGTTGCCTTGAGATAACCTTTAAAACTTAAACCAAAAATATCCCCTGAAGTCTTCCTGAAACCAAATAATAGTTTAGCTTAGCTAGTAAAGAATGTCTGCCTTGGGTGTTATGATCTTTTAAGAACTATCTATATGGGATCAAACTGACAACAACTTGAAAGATTAGATAGGAAGCTTAGGGGGTAGTGAGTTTATGTTAATGGGGGAAGAACAATTAGTAAAAGGAGGATGGGAATAGTTCCACAACTTGAAGAATGTAATCAATGTCACCAAATTATACATGTAGAAATTGTTAGATTAGTGTATGTTCTGCTGTGTATATTTTCAGTAAGAACTATGTATATTTATTTTTACCAGGGAATAAAGCTCATCTACAAAATCTCTGTCAATCTTGAGAATGTTGAGAAATGTAAATCTTTCCCAAAAGTCTTACTATCTAGAAAAAACAATCAATGCATTCCAGAGGACACAATCTCCTGCACAGAAGCCTCGAGGTCACCTGCGCGTGAGGAGCTCTGACCTCCCAGGACAGCTCCAGGCACTGGCCCTCAGTGTCTGCACTGACTTTGTCCCGTGGGAAGGGCCCAGGGCTGCTCATGGTTTGCAATTCTCATTTGATGACCACATGCATCAAAACAAAAAAAACAAAAGCACAGGATAAAGCCTCATGCAGACTGCGGGGGGTGGGGGACGGGGACGGGGCACTGGCAGCTGCCATCCTTTGATCAGTGTGAATGCTGGGAGATGGAGACCCTGTGAGGTTCTGAAATCTTAGGGTCCCTATTAACTATTTTTTTGGGTCGTACGTGGTTGGAATCTCTGATTGGTACAAAGTTAATGCACCTGACTACTAAACAAAAGGCTGGTGGTTTGCATCCACCCAGAAGTACCTCAGAAGAAAGGCCTGGTGATCTCCTTCCAAAAATCTACCCATTGACAACCCTATGGAGCACAGTTCTACTCTGATACACGTGGGGTTGCCATGAGTCAGAATCGACTCAACGGCACCTGGTTTGGCTAACTTACGAACACTCCTGCCCAAGTACTTACTCTGGTTTTACCTTCTTTTAGTGATAAGAGGTCACAGAACCAAAGGGAAAGGACCAAGATCCCGGGTGTTCTAGTCCAAAAAGGGGCGCTGTGAAGTGGGGTGATGACATCTGTGAAACCTGGGGGAGCGAGCAATACATGATGAGCAGGGCGGAAAGCCAAGCAGTGAAAATCAGAGAAGCCTGGACAGGGAACAAGATGTGAGGAGAGTACGCTCACTTTCCCGGTTTCCTTCCGTTTGTGACGAGATTCACGCTCCTGTCTCCTGCGGAGGCTGTCCTCAGTGATGCAATGCAACCACTTATGAGACATCATGAACACGGACAAGGCTGTTTCTCCAAAATTTTATTTTAATTTAAATGACAGGGCCAGCCAGATTTTCTGATAAGAAATTCACTTTTCCTCAGGAGAAATGAAACACTTTCAAGGAATTATTACAATTGTATATATCTCCACTTTTTTTTTAAGGGTTAAAAATCACATTAAATAACTGCCTTATGTAAAATTAAACCTTTGTAACATGAAAAGAAACCACTTCCAGTATAACAGTTTTGGTAATATGAATATATTAAACGATTATAACCTCAAATGCAACTTGTCAACACTGAATGTTTTCACATTGTTTTGTTTAAAAACAAAAGGCCCCAACTGTCTTGATTCGAATGCCACAGTACCTAGTCACTGTTTTCTCTGACACGCTGCACCCTCCCCCTGCCTTCACATAAAAGGCTCTAGTGCCAGAGAGGAAGCTGTTCTGTTGTTTAGAAGTTCTAAGAACCTAGCTTGGCAAGGAAACACTTCTTCCACCTGGTGTCATTAATGTTCACTAAATCCCAATACACAGCAGTAGACCACCAGAACTAGAAGGGTCAAGTCTGTCTTCTAAACATCTTAGGTATTTTCTTCTCAAGGAGATTACATTGCTTTCCCTACTTTCAACAGAAAAACAGGAACTACTTTACACAGATTCCTGTAAAGACTGTCTCAGGAAAACCAATGATAAGGCAGACTGCCATTTCAATCAAGTAGAACAAAACACACTTGTATTTTCTGGAGCTATTTTTGTAACTGGTGTTCCTTGGAGGTTTTAAAACCTGCCGAAACATCAACTGGGAGTCTCATTTTACTGGCTGATAAATACTTCAATTAGTAAGAGAGGCTAGCAAGGAATAATTATATAAATTTCTTTATCAGCTACAGCCATGCTGAATTCGAACCAGCAAACTCTGATCTGTAAGTTGTTAGTTGCGATCTTGGCATCACTAGGATGAACAGATACTGTCCTAAGAACTTTACACAGATAGATTCTAGGAGACGTTGTTCTGCCGTGGTCACAGTAACAAAAAAGTGGTGCAAAATCAGGTACTTCAGAAATACTGATAATCTGCAGCATTAAGGAACAGGACATTAAAAAAAATAAATTTCCCCACAGGGCCCCTGTGACTAGGAACGCTTCTTTTTTTTCTAAGAGAAGTCAAAGTTTTATCCAGCTTTACAACTACTGTACTGGATCACTTACTCTAAGAAAGCAAAGGTGCTCTACAGAGGTTGCCCCACGCACAGAATCAGCAGTGATTCAGCATCATCTCACGCGTCCATCTGGCGAACTCACGACTCGCTGTAAATGAACAAGGCCAATGTTACGCAGGGAAGTGGAGGTGACTGAGATCCCGGCCTACAGCTCAGCCTGTGGATGGCACCCAGGAGACAACTCAATCAGAGGTTTTGGTTACTTTTTTTTTTCCTTTTAATGCTGTGATACTTAAATGTTAAATCAGCATTTTCATGTGATCCGAAGTATTTCAATTACATATGAGCATTCATTTTTTTTTTTTTTTGCAAAAACTTAATATTAGGTAATAGTTACATACTAATACAATAACATTCGTCTGCTGTACAAATTAAATCATTTAAAAGAAATGAGCATTCTAAGAATTATATACAAAAGAAACCTGTAGGCATTGTTGAAATGAAATGCGAGGTGGCGTCGCTAGCTCTACTGTTTTAAAATACCTTCAAAAAGTAAAATTAACAGATACCCTTCAACATATCCAAGTTTACAAGTCAAGTCTCAAGAAAATCAAATGTCAAAAAACTCTAGAAAGCCGTGAAAAGCATATATACATTTTCCTCATGACCTTATGAAGCTTCACACTTTTGAGAAGTTGCTAAGTTTTAGCATCAATTTATATGCATGTCAACTTTATCCCCCCGCAAAAGCTCCCATCTTGGATCCAGCCCCCTGATTTCCAGTAAAGCTCTGCCCGATCTTCCTTGAGTGAAGGTGGACAATCTGACCGAGAATGCCAGGTATGCTCTGGCCACACTGTGCTCAGGTCTTTAACAAAGATAAATGCAAACACACAGGTTCAATCCCCTCATACCAACGCCCTCTTCCCTAAACCACACTATCAGCTGTATGTTTGCCTTCACAAACCTAGCCGTTTTCAGAACTCCTATAGTGAACAGAGTCTTTCAATTCTGAAATAACACAAAAAGATCAAGAAAAAGTCCACGTGTGCTCTAGTGTGCAAGAAAGCAGCAGCTACGTTCTCCAACTTGGGACTAAAAAAACGAAAAAGGTAAAATGAAAAACCGTTCACTAACAGCAGACTAGCAGTAATGTTCCTCATGAATCGATAAGAGCGCCTGATGCTGAGTAGCTAACAGCAAATGCTGAATTTGGATTTACTATTTTAGCTGTTTATTGGGAATCAGGCTTCTTGCTGGGCCGGTCTCTTCAAATCCCTGATCTGTTTAACTAAATAGGTCTTCTCATCATTAAACTGTTCGTCCTCGGTCCTGTCATTCTGAAACTTGCTGAGGAACTCGATGAGTTTGGTCTGGTTCTTGAGGAGGATATCTAAGATGGGCTGTGTCTTGTTGGGATTGGCCACAAACACCTGCATGGAGAGAAAGCCATGTCAGTCCACAGGGATGGAACAAGACCCAGAGACATGTCAACTGCAGCCAAGAGCACGCACGAAGAACACATCCAACGCCTTCCCAGGGGGCATGGTGGGTCAGGGAAATCAGCTCAGACGTTTGTGTTAGAAGACCTTGCTTTCACCATTTGGAAAGAAATCAGATTAATTACGTGTTTTAGCACAAAAAGTATTGACAATCTCATTCTGCCAGCCCTGAAATGCAACAGTTAGTATTTGATTTTAGAATAAAATGGGTAGAAAGTATTTCTGGGCACAGGTGGTCAGAATGGATTTTAAGAATAAAAACCTCATGGAAAGCATTAAGGAGTGGATTATCCTTCACTTTGTGATGAATAATCTTATAGGCCAAAGAGAAATGACAGTTCTCCATAAATAAGCGTTTCTTGTCCCCAAATCTCAATGGTTACACCCTATTTCCAGGTCTTTCTGCCGAAATGTTGTACCACGCAAATATGAAACTGCATTGAATTGAACCTTTTGGATTATCACAACAAGGTCACCAGCATTTCAGTGACTAATGAACGCAATGAGACGAACAACTCGGAGGAAAACGCTGTGCGTGACTCTTGGACTCTACCTTGAAAACGTGAAAGGCCTCGAACTGGATGTTGCGGCTTTTGTCTCGTAGAAGGTTCATCATTAACTTGAGGTTCTCAGGTTTACTGATGTACTTTGTCATAATTGTGAAGTTGTGTCTATCTAATAGCAGCTCACCGAGAAGCTGAGAAGACAAACAGTCACTCTTACATCTCATTAGGATTTGAAGAAAAACCAAAGTTTTAAAAAGAATTCATTTGATAATACAGTGAGCACTATTAAGCACAGGATGTTAATAAGCACTCAAAAGACGGAGGAACTGAGCTGAACTATGACCTAAAAGCTACCAAGTTCCTACTCGTTATGCCACTGGCTATGCGAACACCCACTTCTCCTTTAGGAGTTTTAACATCTACAGAAAGTCTGGCAATGCTTTCTGAGGACACTCACGGCCTGTCTGAGACAGCCAGAGCCCCCACTGTAAATGTGCACTCCTGTTATCTCTGGACATAAACGGGACAATGTGAAGTCTTACACAGGGAATATAAATTTGCTGATAAAATAAACAGCACTATAGAAACTCCAACATGACTGAAGAAAAACTGCACATTAAAATCCATCTTTAGAGTATCAATGGTCCTCAAAATTGCTCCATGTGTTCACGAGGCAGCTTGCGCAGCCCACTGCTAAGATCACCTGCAGGGATGTGAGAGGGGCTTCACAGTCATCACTAAGGTCTTACAAATGGCAGTCTTATTCTTCCTTCATGTGCTGGCAATTCTGAAGTGGCAAGATGGGGGTCTCTAAAGCCTTATCCAAGCAGCTCAAGGGTCCAGAATTTCATCAAATGCAATTAATTTGCCAATAAAAAATAGTTTTTCCTGTGAAGAAGTACTGTCCCTAGGCCATCCTGCCCACCTGGCCAAGTTTTTGCGACAATGGGGAGAGGAGGCCATCCCTAACCTCAGACAGAGGCTCCTGGCACAGGGCCACTTCAAGAATCACAAGGAAGACCCCTCACCCCAAAGACTATGACACATACCACCAAATCCCCCTTTGCCCAATTCCAGATTTCAAACACAAGGTAAAGAGAAATAAACCATGTAAAATAAACAGCCATACCTTGAGTGACTGTCTTTTTGTCACATAATTTTCTGAATGAAGTAACTTCTCGTATTCACTGAAGAACTAAGAGAGAAGAAAACACGTATCAGTTACTTTAGAAAAAGATTGGTAAAATCACGTTACAAAGCTTGAGTATGAATTTCTAACTCCAGAGGCCAACAGTCGCCCAAGCTTTCCTATTCCCGTGTTGCCTATTTCACACCCTTCTTCTGATGCGTTCAAGAACATCCCCAAGTGACACCTCAGAGTTTCACCTGCCCTAGTTACCTCCAAGAAGAGGACCTCTCCAGGCTCTAGCCAGGCCCACACACAGTTCAAATCGGTCCTCTCCTATCACCCCCAACTCCATACATACAGAACATAATTCCCTTTCCCCCCACCGTTGCAGTTCTCATTTCCTGGGGTTCAGTTAGAAAATTCACAGTTTTTACTGATGAAAACTCCACTAGTTCAAAGCACATCCATGAAGAGACCAGTTACCTGTTCTTTCAATGTATCAAGCAAGAAAGAGAAGAGTGGAGAAATTGAGCGCTGTGTTAAATATTCGATGTCCTAGAGAAGGGACGACTTAGGCTCAAACTTGAAGGATGGGAGGGAGTTGGCTTAGAAAGGGGAGGAGAGAAGATGTTCTTGGGGCATAAAAAGGAAAGGACACAGCCTGAGTGAAGACATAGAGAATGAGAAATGGTGTGGATTTGAGAGCTGACAAGCGTCCACTAGATTTACAAAGTGGCCCCTGACAAGAACAGTGTCACTGAAGGGGTCAGGTAGAAGCTGGATCAAAGCAGGAAGGAGGAAATGGGCAATGAGGGACACACAAGAGGCCAAGGCTACACTCCCACAAAGCCTGAGTGTGGGAAGGGAGGGAGGGCCAGTGAGCTTTATTTCCGTTTGTGTTTCAACAACAGAAGGTTGAAAACCTCCCTGAACTCTGCAGTGCAAGCTGGCTCTGCTGGCTCCCAGCGCTTTCCCGAGACTTCTGCTGCCTGTGGTGGGTCTCTGAGGATGCCTGCTGGGTCGTTTGTCCGTGCTACGATTATCTGTGCCTGTGCTCTATGATGGGCCCTCGTCAGCCTCGTCTGTGGTTAAGACCAGGCTTGGCCAAATCCAGCTGCTGTCTGTTTTTGTAAATGAAGTTTTATTGGAACACAGCCACACTCATTTATCTATGGATTATCTATGGCTGTTTTTGTGCTAAGACAGGTGACAGACCACGTGGACTACAAATATTTACAACCTTGCTCTTTATAGAAAAGAGCTGGTGACCCTTCCCTTAGGACAAAGCCAGAACTGCTTGAGGCAGAGCTGGGTGGTCATGTGCTTAGTAAGCAAGCAGGTCAGACTTCTCTCTTTTCAGAAATGACTGTTAACCCTAGCTTCTCCTCAAGCTGCCATCAGACCGATAATAAAAACAACTGGTCAGGACTGTAATCAGTAACCCAGAATATTTACACCTCAAATTCTTGGTAGAAAATGCAACTTTTGGTTGCAGAATTCTTAGGATAAGCTTGGCTGCAAGGAATCCTTGTCACGGAGAGTGCCTGGAGAGCATGCACACAACCCCTGCCGTCCTCCAGAGAAGTCAGGCTTCACCCTGGGTTAGGAACAGAGGTCGAGGGCAGAGGGCAGGCAACACTCCTGAACCCTCTGTGTGGCTCCTCAAAGACGTGCTTCAGGGAACTGCACTTAAGTTCAGCCCTCTGTTCACTGCAGGGCCAGCCCAAGGACGGTGTTCACTACAGTACATGGTGGCGTTAACTCTCCTTTAAGAACGCCAATGGGAGAAATCTGTTTCAGGTCCTAGGGCTAGAAAAGGCTATGTTTCTTTTCAGCAACTAGCATGTGTTTTACTTTACAGATATTGTGATCCTCTAACTGATTCTGTTTCCCTCTGTGCTTTGGCTATGAGAAAGCTCAGAGCCCCATGAACAACTGCCATGAGACCAGAAGAACTGGATGATGCCTGGCTACCATTACTGGACATGCTGATCAAAGATTCCATACAAGAATCCTGATTAGAATGGGGACAATACAGAACAGAATTTCAAATTCTCATGGAATCCAAAAATATCCCCTGAAGTCTTCTTAAAACCAAATAATAGCTTAGCTTAACTAGTAAGAATGTCTGCCTTGAGCATTAAGCCCTCTTAAGAACTATCTATACGGGATCAAATTGACAACAGCAATTTGAAAGATTAGATAGGAAGCTTAGGGGGCAGTGAGTTTATGTTACTGGGGGAGGAACAACTGAGAGAAGGAGGGTGAGAATGGTTGCACAACTTGAAGAATGTAATCAGTGTCACTGAATTCTACATGTAGAAACTGCTGAATTGGTGTATGTTTTGCTGTGTACATTCTCAACAATAAAATAAATAAAGATTAAAAAAGAAAAAAAAAAAGCTCAGAGCCAAAATGTACAGGATGTTAGAGCCCGAAAGCAAAACATTTTTCCTATGTAGCAACCTCACCCTCAGCTTTATTTAAATTATCCACATCCCCCCACTTTCCTTGCCCCTCCCCAAGATCTGATGGCACTGCATGCATTTCTGTTAGATGCTCACGCAAATTTTCCTAAACTTTTGTTAACCAATATGATCAGTTAATAATACGGAAGAGAACAAGTAGGAAAATATTTTATAGCAAAATTAAACAGATTCTACTGGCTGTAGTCAATTTCCTGGAAATTAGTCTGCATTTTTGGTCTGACTTAAATGAAGGTATTAATATGTTTAAAAATCTTTGAAACCACGTGGCAATAGCAACAGCTAATGTTTATTAAAGGCTTATTATGTTGCAGACTTTACACACACTTTACACACACATTCTCATTTAATCCTCACAACATCCCTCGCAGGCAAGTGCTATTAGGAGTCCCTTTTAGGACTGAGGATCCTGAGGGCTCAGAGAATGAAGGCAGCTTGCTAGCACAGAGTGGGGCTGGAGGAAGCCAGACTCCAGGCAGGAATAGGCCAAAGCCGAGGTCCTAACTCCTGTACAAAGGCACTGAAGAGAATGACAGAGCTGCCATTTTAAACCAACAAACATACAAAAGGAAAAAGACTCGTGTCCAACCACACGTGGGAGGAAATACAATAAATGACCAGCAATGGTTAAGCCTGAGCCCCGGTGGCACAGTGGTTAACGGTCTGGCTGCTAACCGAAACGTTGGCAGTTCAAATCCACCAGCCACTCCTTGGAAATGCTGTTGGGACAGCTCTACTCTGTCCTATAGGGTCGATATGAGTTGGAATCGACTTGACGGCAATGGGTTTGGTTTGGTTTAATGGTTAAGCCATTTATGAGGCACTTTATGAGGGACTTCCTATGTACTTAGCACTGTGTTACGATGTTACTGGGGGCCAGAGGGGAAAACAGGGAAAAAGCAACACAAAAGAATTAGCAGGCATAGATTTTGCCTCCCTGAATCTTATAATCTCGTTGAAAAGCGAAGTGAAGAATGAAGTATTAATGATACTTTGGACTTCAAAAACTTAAAAAACTAGTGGAAAAATTAAAACCTAAGCCAAATTTTGTGGGATAGGGATTCTAAGTGGATTGTTATCATTACAACTTCTCTAACAGTATCTATAAAGTCTTGGACAACGTGTAAATTAAAGCAGTATGGCACAAGACAGCTCCCCTGGGCATTCTGGGAACTTTCCTGAAGGTTGTTGTGAGGATCAAAGGAAGCCACGTCTGTCAGCGCACTCAGGATCATTGACAACTCTCTGGGGCATCACCATCACCACGAAGTCCAACATCGACTCAGCGCTGGAAGGGACCTTACCATGAGCTAGTCCAATCCCCTCATCTTACAAATAAGGACTGACTTCTAAGTCCCCAAGCGGTTAACTGCCTTGGTCATGGCCACAAGGAGTTAGCAGCAGAGCAGGAGCAGAACCCGGAGTCCTGCCTCCTCTAGTCTAGAGAGCTTCTCATCCTATCAGCTGCTGCCTCCCTTTCTCTCTACTTGTAAGCAGCAGGAATGTGGAGCAACTGATGGAAAAGGAAGGAAAAGTCAAATGTCAGATAATAAGTTTCCTTTTATCTTTACTGTATTATCATTCAGCAGCAAAAATGCCCATTTTACTCTTCTAAAGTAAGAAAAGATGCAAAGGGCAGTGTGTCAATCACAAATATCAAATTATTCTTCTGACTAACACTCTATAGGTTGTTTCCGTAGGAAAACAACTACAATATCATTTAAAAACATTACATATGCAAAATAAATATTTTGCTATGAAATTTAATTTAAATCTTTCATTTCTGCTAACAAAAAATGTGCTATTTTGATAATATTTCATATACTTACTCTATCATAATGCTGCTCCAAAAATTCTGCACTGAGCAACTTATGTCTTGTAAGTAAATCCTATAAAAAGAAAAAACAAATTTTATAGTTATTCTCCACTCGTTTTTTTTTTTAAAAAGAGAATTCTAAAATATTCCACGTCATTTTACCTGATAAAAACCGTTGTTAAAATTGCTATATTTAAAAATATTTGGGCATGAATTTTACTCAAAATATTGATTTTATGTAAGAGTAAATAAAATTATTAGTAATTTCAAATTATGATTTTAATGTTATAGGATTAGCCACAGGTCTATAGCTCATAGAACCAAAAATGAAAAAACAAAGCAAAACACCAGACATAGGAAGCAATGGAGATGCACACTTAGAAGAAGAGGATGAAGAGTTAAAGAGGAATAAAAGCAAATGGTGGTGGCAGAGTGTCAAATAGAATCCTGCGCCCATTTACTGCTCCTGGTGAAGAAAGGAAATTTCTTTTATTAGAAAAAGTACTGGAGGTTCCATTTTCTTGTTCCTAAATAAAATTACAATCAGTATCCTATCTAATGCAACCTTTTTTCAGATGTAAAATAGCTTCTAAAAGCCCTATCATATTATAAACATTAGCTCCTAATTAAGCAGAATAATGCTGCAAAAATGTGGAGTTAAAAATTACTTTGACCTGTGGTCCAATTCTGCATTCCTAGAAACAGAGCTTATGTTTTCCCCGGGAACAACTCAAAGATCATTCATCAGAGAACACCTACTATGTGCCAGAGAAAGTTCCAGTGTTGGGGCTACAAAGGGAAACATATACAGTCCCTGCCTTCAAGGACCTAGAAGCTGGTAATGGCCTAGCCTTGCTCTCACCAGATGGGGAAGAGAATGGGAACATGTGACAGCACATGAATGGCTGGTCACTATTTGGCAAATGAATGAATGAAGTTCCCTTTGGGCCACTTACTAGAGAGGCTGTACTAATAAACGTCTTTTCTGAACCAACTTTGCTTCAGGTTACAATGAATTAGTGTTCCTGAAGTGTTTTCAAGTGTAACACTGGCCTCAAAAAATGTTCCAAGCATATGTATGTGGAAAGCCCACAGCGCTAGTTCCCTCTTGGAGAGCTACTGGGTCTTTGAATGGTTGTGCATGGAGCTCTTTTGTCACCTGCCTTTTGGTAACATCCTTCCCCAAAGGCTTTCAAATGGGCTCTCCTCTCTGCCTAACTCCTACAGCTCACCCTTCAGACCTCCATGTAAGTGTCACTACACAGGGAACCCTTCCAATTGGCCACCCGCATCAAAGCACTGGTCACAGCTGTGACTCTCTCTGTGGGATTTGACTAATGTCTCTCCCACTGGCCTGAAGTCCCATAAATGCAAGGGTCGTGTCCATTTTTACCCCCTTTGAATCCCCAGCACCTGTGCAGTGCCCAGCACACAGTAAAAGCTTCATGAACAGTAAGTAAACGTGCGAGCCAACAGAAGTCAGAGAACACATCTGGAAAAACATCACACTACCCAATCTTCAGAAACCCTGGTAGCGTACTGATTAAGTGCTACAGCTGCTAACCAAAAGGTCAGCAGTTCAAATCCACCAGGTGCTCCTTGGAAACTCTATGGGGCAGTTCTACTCTGTCCTATAGTGTCACTATGAGTCAGAATCGACTCAATGGCAACGGGTAACCAATCTTCAAAGTTTGCTTTTAAAAAAGCTTTTTGCCTTATCTCAAAGATTTACAGTTACTCAAATTGCTGGATGGGGTATGCACCATATTTCCTGATTATAACAGGAATGGCCAGACAGGACATAGACAATTTTTTCAAAATCCCATTTGAGGACTGAACAGGCAAACTTAGAAAACCTGGAGTTTAAGTATCCTTAAGAATTTGGCAAGCAGTAGCTACAAGGTTTCCTCATATGGGAAAGGAGATGGAAGTGGTAGAAGAATAACATATTATCTTAGTATACTGGTATGGTTTCGGTCACCTCGTATGCATGTGAAAGCTGGACAGTGAATAAGGAAGACCAAAGAATTGACGCCTTTGAATTGTGGTGCTGGTAAAGAATATTGAATACACCACGGGCTGCCAAAAGAACGAACAGGTACATCTTGGACGAAGTACAACCAGAATGCTCACATACTCTGGACATGTTATCAGGAGGGATCGGTCCCTGGAGAAGGACATCATGCTTGGTAAAGTAGAGGGTCAGCAAAAAAGAAGAAGACCCTCAATGAGATGGATTGACACAGTGGCTGTAACAATGGGCTCAAGCATAGCAATGATTGCGAGGATGCTGCAGGACCAGGCAGTACTTCGTTCTGTTGTACACAGGGTCGCTATGAGTAAGAACCAACTCGATGGCACCTAACAACAACCATATTAGTTCGTAGGGTCAGATGCAAGGGAGAGAGAAACACGAGAACTTTAAGGGGAGTATACTCAGCCCAGAAGGCACTTAACGCATGTTTGTTAAAGAGCACGTAACACCTCGTAACATGCTGCTGTTGTTTTACACCAGGCAGGCACTCAGGCTTGTTGACTGAATTGAATGAATGAATGAAGGGATTAATGTGTCAGGATCCATGTGAGACCGAGTGTCATGTCTACTTTTTGTGGCTAAATTGTCCTGGAGGCGGACATGAGGACACACAGGGAAAGAGAGAAAGCCCTCCCTCTCTGCTCTGATGAATGAGAACGCCAAAGGAGATGGCTCTTGGAGACGCTGGCTTTCCACTGTGGTCAGTGACTGGGGCAGTGTCTTATGGACAGGCAGGTAGACAGTATCTACTCTAGAAAGCAAAGGCCCTGCAGGCATAAACAGTTTTCAACAGAGTTTTCCTGAAGGTCTGTGTAAGGTGACTATTTTCTCTGAAGGATGTACCACAAGCGGAAGCAAAGAAGCTCATGGTTAGGCCGGCTATAAAAAGGGGGGGGGTCTCTCCATCTGGGAGGGGGGTTCTATCTGTTATCATCTGATTTACGGAGACCAAGAACCTCAGGTAACAGTTGCCAGTTTAGATGCCTGGGTCCAAGAATCAACTCTCAATGGTCTTGGTACAGCAGCTGAAAAGGGGTGCCCCCGACTGCTGAAGTAGAAGCGTGACAGGATGAGAGTCCTCTGTCAGGAAGGGCCCTTCTAGGGCCTAAAGGGAGGGGGCAAAACATGAGCAGAAAGAGAGGCTGTGAAGAGAGAGCACAGGGAAAAGGGCTGACCCGAAGCCGAAAGGAAGGAGGTGGGATGTGGGCAGGGCCTTGACACCTGGGGAGAAGGAACTTTAGCCCAGGAACTGAAGCTATAAGTTTTGAGGCACTCAAACCAGAATTAAGGACAAGCAGTCAGTGCCTGTTCAGCACCCAGCACCTTGGGTACATGCGGGCCCAGAACAGCAGAGGTGCTAGCGAACAGAGGGGGGAGAAGGAAAGGATTTCTCATCTCCCACCTACCTGAATCCCAGTGATCCAAGGCCCTGATATAACCTGGAGAAATGCCAGGGCTCATATCCCAAGTCCAGCAGATTGAATAGCCAAAATTTAGGGAGGGCTGAATTAAAAAAAGAAAAGAAAACCCCTAAAAGGTATGTGAGTTTGGGCCCCCAGCGTCAAGTACAAAGACAGCCCTGGAATCCCTGAAGACATACTGCTAACCCAGGGGGCTGATTTTCATAGAGTCTTGTCAAGTCTGACAATCTGGTCCAATTTCTTACTTCATGCTTGACTATGTTCAAGAACAAGGAATTCAATTCTTCCAACTGTGGTTTACTTACGGAGATGTTATTGTTCAAGTGTTCTCCCTGTGCTAAAGTCAAAACTTAGCCCCAGGTAACAGCCAAACACTGACAGAGCCAACAGAAAGAAGTTTAATGCACTGTCTACAGGACCCTACTTCAAATCCAAGCAGAGACCTCATAGCAAGTCCCTACTGAATCGTCTCTCCTCCAACCACGGGCTCTGAGCCCCTCCCCATCTACTGTCTTCTGAAAGTGATCCCTGCGTCTATGTGCCTCAGAGTGTAGTGCCCGGGACGGAACACACCCATGTGCTGTTACCTAATAGCTTACAGTCAAGTGAGACCACCACTGAGCTTCGTAGGTCACATGCTACGTGGTCACATGTGGCTTCGGGGGCAGCAGCATCATACTGGACGAATACAGCCTTTGCTTACTCAGAGTGAGATGTGTAGCCAGACTGCCTGAATTCAAATTCTGGCTCTCCCATTATTGTCTGACTTTTATTCAACATCTCTAAGCTTCAGTTTCCACATCTTTAAAGGAGATAATAACATACCTCCTTCACAAGATTGTGTAAGCATGACACAGAATTACCTACCTTTCAGAAATTATTATCCTTGGTAACCATTAAATTTAGTAATTATTAACTCTTATTACTATGCCTTAGTTCCTCATCTCATATTTATACAGGTAGGTCCTTAAGTGGAAGACTTCAGTTATCTACACTAATTTCATCCTGTTATACTCTGGCCTCTCTGGGTCTCTATGGATCCTTAGTTTAGTATCCACTGTTATATATCTTTCCTATCATGGTTACTACCTATAAATCTGAGAAGTATGCCTTGTTACTACCCCTTATCTAAGTGGTGAATGAAAATGTTCAAAAGGCGGAGCCGAGCGGGGGCCCACTAGACACTTCTCTCCAGAGTGACAGCAACCCATCTGCCAGCACCTTGTGGATACAGCACATAGTCATGTGTCCACTACACGGAAACTCCATCTAGCTCATATTTTTCTGTTGTTTCCAAGAGAATACATTTGTATAATTAGTCAATGTCTAGCATACTCTCCTTGTCATAAAAGGATAATTTTAATAGTTACTCACTGCACACATACCGTGCAAAGGCACAAAAATCCTGGCAGACCAGTATTGTTACCCACATTTTACAGGTGAGGAAACTGAGGCTACAAATCAGTGGCAGAGCTGGGATTCGAACCCAGGCAGCCACACTCTTACCCACCCTGATCTCCTGGCATCTATGTGATTAGCGGAGCTGAACTTACTTAGTGAATCCATGCTGGCTGTGGGTACATGGCTTCCTTTCCAAAATGCTCAGAACTCATCTCTTTAGAAATACTTTCTAGAACCTTACACAGGAATACCATCAAGCTCCAAGCTTCACCAGCCTCTCTCTACCTTCTTTCACTCTGGAAAATTGGAAATATATATGTTGGCCTTCTGATGCCCCTCCCCATCTACTTAGTTCCTCAAAAAAAGAAAAAGAAAAAAACAACCCACTAACAATATTTGATTTATTATCTCAGTACCCATTCACTCAAGCCAAGACTCTTAGACACATTCAGAGAGCGTAGCTTTAATTTCCTTTTGAGACTCAGCACCTGTTCTGGGGCTTTCAATCCAGGACTACGGTTGAGCCGCGTTTGTTTGAAAACGTTTGTGTGCAGAGTGCACTTCCTAGGAGAGGGCTCTTGTCACATCTCAAAGGAGAGCATGCACCACAGCTAGCTCCTTTTCCACTGCACAGATGTTATTCTCTGCGACGTGGACGGCAGCCAACCAGGGACGAGCTGCTCTCCTGTCCTCCTTGCCAGCACCTTGGGTGGGCTCTGGTCTTCCTCCTGGCTCTAACTGTAGTTTCTCTCACAGAGGGAGTGGGAAAGCAGCTTCACTTGGGTCTGGTGGTTTAGCCATCCCGAGATGACGATGGTAGGTCTGTTAAGTCTTTCACATATATTGTCTTGCTTATGGGTGTGACTTCATTTTATTTCCTGGAAGGCTCTCTGTTCAGGTGCCTCTTTAATTAGGTCTCCCCTTTCTATGTAATCAGGACCCCCTGGGATACACAATCCAAGTTAGCTTCTCAAGGTTCTCTCTTCTGTAGCTCATGCTTAGAACTCTAAGTTGCTTTTTGAAGTCTCCCTTCTTCAGGTGGAGACTACCTGCTTGGCTCTTCACATCTTCCCCTTCCTGGCAACCATAACCTGACAGGGTTGCTTTTTCTACAACTATTCCCTCACCATCATTTTCTCCTTGGTGAGAATTTAATTCAAAGAAGCAACCTGAATTGAGATAAAATTATCAGCAACGTCAATCAAGACTTCATCCAATATTGTGACTTACATGACCAGCATCCAGTCAGCACACCTCTCTCACCTCTTGGCCAATTCTGCTATCGGTGCCAGGAGTGTATCATCCACGTCCTCTGCATGGCCAAGGGCTGGGTGCATTCGCCCACACTGTAGCTGCTCTCTCTCCTTTTACTCTCCTGCACCCCAGTGTCTCCCCGTCAGGCACAGGGCTCTCCTTCCACACAGGTCTGTCTCTTCTTGACACATGGTGCTCCCAGAACTCCCGCCCTAACAGGTCTGCTGCTTCTGTATGGGGCACACCCTTCCATCATGCATGCTAATCGTGAGTCCTATCCCGCCAGTCTGGGTGATACCTAAGCCATCACATTTACCTCTCTCTGTTATAATCTCAAATTCACTTTGTTTTGCTTTGCACGCTGAGATATAAATATCTGAGGTCTTGCCTAATGCTTCTGACACCCTTTTTTAATTGTTTTGGGACATAAATTACCAAGCACCTCCCACACCTCATTCTCGATTAATGTGAAACCCTCATGACCGGGTCCTCCAGGTCTGCACCCCATCTTAAGGGCATTCATTTACTCTGAGGTATGTACTTTATCCAGAGACTCTTTATAATCATAAAACTGAGTCCTCACAAGAAAAGTCGTCACTTCTCACTGTAATAGTGTTCATGGCTTTGAGTATGGTAGCCTAGGTGTGAGTATACTAAATTCCGATTATATTAAAATAATAGCTCTAAATATTCACTAGAAAGTCTGTGAAGATCAGACATTTTATATAAGGGAACACAGCATATAAAGGCTTGTCCCCATTGTGAAAAAAATTAATAAAGAGCACTGCTTTACTTATATACTTTAAACAGCACAGAACCTTGCAATTAAAAACAAAAATGTGCATATTATACAATGGAGCAGCATCATATGTTCCTTTGATTTATACAACCGTATAACAAGGGAGGGGAGGGGACGGAGGGCGGGGGCACAGAGTAATTGAGGTAGTGCAGCTGGTTCCGTCTCCCCCCGCAGTAAACACGCCCTGGCGTGAGCGTGAGATGGGAGAAGGCAGGCCACTGCTCCCTAAGCCTGTCACAGTGTGGACACCTCTGTCCTAAACGTGCTTGTATTTGAAGACATGTATATTTCAAACCAGGATGGCCCCTAAACAGGAGCCAGCTCCTTTACCTGGTGCTTAACCAAAGGCTGTTGCAGTATGTTGTTGTCAGACTCACTGCATACCTGTGCCCTGCACTTACTAGGTAATCTCACAGAGTTTAGAGTGTCATTTTGACTACACAGGGAGTGTGCCTCTTAGACAGACCTCAGAAGCTAACTTCTCCACCCCTTCAGGATGTGATGCCCTGAATAAACCTGTCACATATACACATGGAAACGATATCTTCTCTCCTCCCACTAGAGGGCAGCAGTGTGTAGACTGCGAGGGTAGGGTGGGTAGGAAAAACAGCATGCCCAGAAATCTGACTTGCAAGTCTGTTTAGAACTGTGTACTGTTTTTATAAATGTTACCTTGAATGTGGCAAACGCATCTGAAGCTATGTCAAATGTTGACATTTCCACATATCTGAAGAAATCATAAAACTGTTCTGACCACAAAATTATTTTTGCAAGCGGTTCATGTCTGATGCATTCTCTTAACATGATTCCACAATTTAGAGCTATTTCTGGAGATTCATACCTGCAAAAAGAAAAAAACACACGTGACTGCTCCAACACAAGGCACTCTGAGTCTTTAGAACAGAGGTTTTCAGACATGTGTCCCGGCTAAGGGGCCACGGTGAAACAGCAGTTACAACGGGCATTTCTCTCCGCAAGGAACACGTGCTCAGGAGAGTTTACACTGAAGTGTGCACACACATTGATCAGTTGGTGATGACTGCTTCATCCCAAAGGAAAATAACAGCCACGAGAGTGACCGTATAAATAACGGCTCATTATTTAAGCTAAAAGATCTGAAAAAAGATACTGAGGTCGCACCCCAACATGTAGAGGTTAGTTTTACATGTGGCGCTCTCAACCAAAAGCTGAATCAAAATATAAAACAAAAAATCCAATTTTGTTTTAAATTTCTGAACATTTAAAAACATGATCCCAAATTCAGAAAGTCACAGCATCTCAATAACCACCCCCCCTCCAAAAAAACCAAACTTCCCGCTGTCGAGTTGATTTCAATTCATAGCGACCCTACAGGACAGAGCAGAATTGCTCCATAGGGTTTCCGAGGAGTGCCTGGTGGATATGAACTGCCAACCTTTCTAGGCTAGCAGCCAAGCTCTTTAACCACTGTGCCACCAGTGCCCCAGCTAGTATCTCAATAGGACTATCAAATGTACAGCATTTGTACTTTGCTTTGATCCGGTACCCAGGATGGTTATTTTCAAGACTCTCAGCAACATGCTGCTCTTGTTAGCTACGTTAATTTAATCTACATTTAAAGAACTGTATGTGGTGTGGCGGTACCTTACTAGACAGCACAGTTCTATGCCTGCCTTTTTCTACTCCAAATCTTCCCATTTCAGTGTCACTAGTCCTTCTGAATGCTTCTTTGAAACATCTTAGGCTCATTTTCTTTCTCCCTTCCACAGTTGCACTGATTCACACCCAGAACCCTGAAATGGGCTCCCAGTCAGCATCTCTGCGCAAGTTCTGCCTTACCAAAGGCTCCCTACATAGTCTCGCGATAGCGTTTCCCGCTCTGAGCTTAAGATGCTGCTTCTTGCTAATCAAATAAAGGCAAACCCCTGGGCTGAATTTCTAGCCTTCCCCTTGTCAGATCCACTCCTCTGGTACAACACCATCTCCCACTATGTCATAAAAGCTTCCAGATGATCTCCTTACTGTGGCCAATCACACTGCAACCGTTCCTGCCCCTGTAACTTTGTCCTCAGTGACGTGCCAGTAGGACGTCCTCTCTCTCTTTTTGCCTCTGCAAATTCTAAACCCCCTTAAGCCCCATCTCTTTCACTAACCCTTGTCTTACTGACCAAACCTGCATGTTCCCCTGTGAGATCCTGTAATACTGACTTATTATCTTTGGTTGTGCCCATGTTTATCACAGAGTGACATTCTATGAATATCACTACGGCTTGGAACCTAGATGCTGACTGGCTCTTAGGTGATCAAAATGTTTGTTCACAAAATGGCCAATCATACAGTTTATCTTTGCTGATCTTCAGTAGACAGGAGACTAGAAGGACAAGGGTAAAGACAGTTTGGTATAACAAGTTGGGCAGGTTTCGATGAAGGCTTGTCAAGTTTATCTTAAATGAGTAAACCATAAACCAATCAGTACAAGGCAAACAGTTATGCCCTATAATCTATTAGCACTAGAGTGGAGAGCACATTAACATTTAAATTGCCAGTTTAAAAAAAAAAAAATTGCCTCCAAATGCAGTGTAACACCAGATTATGTACTTTTAAATACATACTAAAATTGGCTGTGTAACAAAAAACCAAACCCACTGCCGTCAAGTTGATTCTGACTCATAGCGACCCTGCAGCACAGTGTAGAACTACCCCATAGTGTTCCCAAGGCTGTAAATCTTCATGGAAGCAGACTGCCATATCTTTCTCCCACGGAGCAGTTGGTGGGTTCGAATTGCTGACCTTTTGGTTAGCAGCGGAGCACTTTAACCACTGCACCACCAGGGCTCCTATTGGCAGTCAAACCCGTTGGTGTTGGGCGAGTTGATTCCGACTCATAGCAACCCTTTAAGACAGAGTAGAACTGCCCAGTAGGGTTTCCAAGGCTGTAAATCTTTATGGAAGCAGACTGCCACATCTTTCTCCCGTGACGGGTGGGTCTGAACCACTGACCTTTTGGTTAGCGGCTGAGTGCTTAACCACTGTGCCATCAGGGCTCCCCCAAAATATCTAACATCAAAGTATTTATAGCCTAAGCAGATGATTACATTGTATGGAAGTAGTCTGAACTAATTAATCAACTAAAGCACAAAATGTTAAAAGGCTCTCTGACCTGTTTCCAGGTCTGAGGCAGTAAGTGTACAAAACGAACAAGGGACATCTTGAGCCAGACAGCAAGGAAGCTAGCAATTCTGTCTGTCCCACACTGCTTGTCTTTTGGGATAATTAAATCATTGGTGAAGAAAGGTTCTTCTTTAAAGAACAGACACATTTAATATATGGAGACAGAATGATAGCATTAGGAGATTTTGAATCTAGGTGATAATCCTCAACGGATACTGAAGTCATTAGGTGACAGCTTGACGGGAAACTTTATAATGGACAGATCAGATTGACAGCACCTGAATCCACTGATCAATCTAATCACTAAAATGGGACAACCAGTGTCACCCAACAGGAAATATACAGCATGTACACAGGAAGTATAGTACATGAAGAATTCTTCCCCCACTCCCAATATCCAATCAAACTCTAGATGTAATTACTAATCTAAAGAAATAAGGGGACAGAGGAACATGTTAAATGAAACCACAGGGATGCAAATCCAAAATATGGGACTTTTCCACCAAATGACCCAGCTGCCTCAACAAATTGCAAAAATTTAAAAAAACAAAACAAACAAAGAAAGTGGGGAGGGTGGGGAGAGAAGGCAGGTATTACTATAGATTAAAAGAGAGCTAAGAGTCATATCAATCCAATTCAGTTTATAGACCTTGTTTGGAATCTGAACTAAACAAACTGTAAAATGACCTTTTCATAGAAATCAAGGAAATGTAAAAAGTGACTGGGCATTAGATAATGTCAGGTTTGTAGACGGTACTGTGACTACATTAAGAAAAAATCCTGTTATATACTATGTGCTAGGGATGCACACTGAAGTGGTGTTGTATGGGAGGTGACAATAAAAGGAAGCAAGGAACAGATGAAACAAGAATAACAGAATGCTAACAACGCTGAAGCTGGGTGATGGGTATATTATTCCCTCTAGTTTTATGTATATTTTCCACAGTAAAGGCTGAAGGGGGTAAGGGGAGGCTCCCGTTGGATCCCACACCAGCTGCATCTCCATGTTTCTCCTCCTCTCTTTCCTGGCTGAGGTTTCTGCTCTGGCTAGCTCAGATGAGAGCTTAAAGCTTTTTCTTTCAATTGTATCTCAAAAGTCCTACTTATGGTGTTCTAAAATGTTCATATTGTGCTCCCAGCTGAAGTAAACTCTAAAGGAAATTTAGGTAGTGTTGACTAATTTATGGATTTTAAATAACCATTGGTTTCTATGGAAAAAGAAATACTGGCTCTAAAAATACACCACGTCATCTGGAAGCCGCTCGGAGAGCACCAACACTGCAGACTCCCCACTACCTGTTCACACATGCAACTCTGGATTGATACCACACTCAGATGCCAAAGGCTCCGTACAGCACCATCTGAAGCAGCACCACGATGGTTAGAAACAGAGGAGGAGACAGAAGGCCTGAATGCAGCACATGCACTGACTGATGCTTTGTCTAAACAAGCTTGAACTTGGGGGAGTGTTGAACCGCAGAGATAGGAATCAGAGTAAGGCAAGCTGTAAAGCAAGGGTAGGAGAGCAAGCTGATTCACGTCAACAGTCATGCCAGTCACACGCCTGCCCACCAATTTAATAGAACAACACAAATGTTTGGCCAAACAGACATACCCCATACCCAAGACTGGAAACAATGCTGGTGTGAACAACAGGAGGCTATCCTCCAATCGGGGAGGCTCAGTGACGAGGGAGAAGAACTGTGCGAGTTTTTTTTAAAGTTTTAGTTTTTAGGCTTTTTTGGTTTTGTTTGTTTTTTAAGTTGACAGACTACTCAAACATAAATGCCTGCTTAGGCCAGTAGTAACTCCAGGAAGATGCACTGTGAATCACCACATTAGAAGTGGGTTAGTGAATGGCCACACACGGCTATCAGCAAAGGCTGCGGCCTCATCAACACAGCCTTGGCTGACCTAACTAAGGGAAGCTCCCTGGCACCCGAGCCTCTTCTCCTAGGCAGCTCTTATCTCCTTACACTGTGTACCCATGTCCAGAGATGTCTCTAAACACATGGTTTAACTGACATTTTAACAAAATTCAAATGTTTTATCTTCCAGAACAGAAATAAGACCACAGACGCCTTGTTTTTTTCCTTCAGTCATGTATGGTTTGTGAACTCTAAGGCTCACCATCAGCCTAACTTAAAACTTCCATTAGCAGGGCATTTTCCGATTCAGTTTAGCTCAAAGGCTGAATTTTAAGGAGGGGAGTATGTTCAAGATCTGTGGAAAATGAGCTGACCAGACTACAGAGAAAATGCTTCCCCCACATTCACCACCCTGGTTTTGATCAAGGCAATGTTTCTTTTTTTATTTTTGAACTAAGAATATAAATTTTATTACATTGTACATACCCTTTCAATAACATGAACAAAATATTCTGTTGGGTGCAGATGTATTCAACAGTAGGAGTTCTTGTACCAATTTGTCTTCTGAGAATATTGTTGAAAATTTGAGCCACGTCTTTTTTGCCCTATTAGGAACACAATCATTAAAATATTTACCTGACTAAACATAAAAATGCCCACCCGCCCTCCCAAATAAACTTAAATAAAGGCACTGTATATTTATAGCTGACTGAATATCTGACTTTAACACATTCATAAACACGGTTTTCTTATTTTATCTCTATTTATAATTCAAAATTCTAAGTTTTAATAGTTGACTATTTTTAACATGAACAACGTGTTGACAAAGTGAAATCTCACTACATTCCATGTATTATTGTAACCATTTCTAACTCAGAATCATGCTGACTCAAATGAACAACAAAACCCTGCTGTAAGCTCATAATGTACAGGGACCTGAATTCACCTGAAGGAACACGCAGCTTCAAACACGATGCTGCTCATGTCGTAACCTCTACTTTCCTTTTACATGATGCAGGGAGAAGGGAACGGAATTATACTCTACTAGCAACACTGAAGACCTTCTGTAAGAAGCTTAGCTTTAATGGCAAGTAGACACCCCCCATCCCCTTAAACTACATCTACTTAGGAAAAACATTATATGGATTAATAATGAAGGTGCTCAGTATCGCAGGGTGCACTAGTTCAAAGATGAGAACTTAATTACACCATCACACTTTATTAAAACAGATGGACACTAAGTCGCCATCCGTGGAAGCTTAAAATGAGAAAGCTGCATGAGAAATTAAGAGATTGATTAATTAAAATTCCAAGAGATGTTTTGGAATGGCTGACCAGCCTGTAGGAGAGTGAGTGAAATGCTAGCTTTCCAGCACCCAGCCTGAAGCTCACACAGAGAGACCACCTCGGGGCACGTGCCACATCAGGAACAGTGATGACAATCTCTAAACACCGGTCTCAACGGCACATTTTTTTTTTAAAATGATGTCTTCAAAGTTCTAAATGAACGTTAAATTCTGCATCCAGGTTGGGAAGGAGGGTGGGTGGAGGCTGACAAAGGAGGAACTAGATGTTTCAGCCCATGCCCAACTTCCCAGGGGAAATAAAAATTGTTGTTGGAATTTGATACACTATTAAAAATACATGAAATCGGCTAGGTACACTGAAATATCCTAGTTCTTTTATCTGCTCTACAGTAGGATAGAAATAAAATTTTATTTTCTCTCTTGATAAAAAATTTTGTTATCAATATTATATTCAAATAATGTATGAACCACATCCTCCATCCCTCCTCCATATTTAATCTAGTTACTTGTCTATCATTTTCTCCCCAGTAACATGTACCTGCCTTTCAAGCACCTGGACAGACATCCAATCACTCAGGTGGATAAACACTGGGGCTTAAAACAAAGCACACCCGTGACAAAGAGGCAGACAGAAGACTGCCCCTGACCGCGTCGGACCCTCTACTACCATATATGCCCCCCCACAACTGACCCAGGGTCTTCCTTCAGACTAGGATCAAGGACCATTATTCTCAGGTTAAATTCACTGTTACTTAACATGGCAGAACCCAGCTGTAAAAGCTTGGGCAACAATCCCAAATGCCTCCCAGACTGGGCAGGAAATGCACATGGCTACAGCCGGCCCCTAGGTAGAAAGCAAGTTGTGCCATCTGTGCATGCCCTGTGTGGAGGGTGGCTGCTGCTGGGCTCCAGCGAGGGGCCACAGAGGTCTAACAGGCCCAGCGTGACCTGAGACAAAGAAACCAGAAACTGAGAACGTCGTGTAAAGTCTGCGATTTAAGTGTTATATTAATTCAAAAATCTAAAAGCACTGCTGAGCAAACAAAACCCATGTGAGGCAGAGGCTTATGGTCTCTGCTATGAATTTTTAACAGGTAAAATAGATACAGCAAAAAGCTGTGAAAGCTGGGACCTGTGTAAGGTGGAAACCTGTCAGAGATGGAAAACTTAAATATTTTCCACTAAAATGAGAGAAAAGTGGTAAGACTGCACCTTGTCAAAGGCGGAAAACTTGCCAGACCTCGAAAAACACGGCAGTCCCGTTGAGCTCTGTCTGGCTCTCGCAGGTTTTCCTGTATAACTGGAATTTCTCTAAGACCTTACCTACCTCTAAAAGTCTATATGATCTTCTTTAGATTCTTTATTTCTCAAGAGCAGGGACCAGTGAATTATATGCAGCCCACTACAGTGCTCTCAACTGAACAGCTGTGTCTTAAATACGGCCCAAATAAAAGGGCGCAACGCATACCTAAGGAACGCCACACGTGACGTGGTGACGGGGCAGAAGCCTTGGAACAGGCCTGAGACCCCTGTGGGTCCCTGCCCTGGCTCTGCAGACGAGGCAGGCAGCCAAGCATGCGTCCAGAGGGCAGGAAGCCCTGAGCCGAGGGCTCGCCGGGAACCCTAAGGTGTTTACAAGAAGAGAATACATGGAAAACGACTGCGAGTAGGGTTCTGTTTTTGAAAACTAAGAAACTGACTTCCTACCTCGAAGTCAATGAGCTGTAGGTCGGCGACCAGGGTGCTGAGGAGGCCACTGTTATAGAGTTCCTGAGCAAGCTGCGCCACTGCCTCCGTCTGCGGCTCCTTCTCGTTTGTGCCGTACAGGATTTCCTTCATGGCCACCAGATTTTTGGAAACTTCTTCTGTAGCCTGTTTTTTTTT